ATGCACCAGTACATGTTCCATCAGATGTTACTGTTCCTGCAAAAGTTATTGGTCGAAGAACTGTGCCATTAATTTTGAGTTCACTGATAATATTGTTTACATTCATAATTAGTGATTTTGTTTGGTGCATACTTTTACATTGATCTAAAGATGTGTCCGTTATATATGATATTTGTGAATTTGTAACAGTTGAAATGTGAGAATGCATACCACAATGAAATATAGTTCTTGATATTAATATTTTACATTGAATTACATTGATTGATTCAAATTTTGATAATTGAAGTAATTGAATATAAATTTTTTCAGTGTGTGGTTGAGTGATTGGTATATTACAATCTTCTACATCTATTAAAGATAGCGCAGTGACATTAAGACTTGGTGATCCACAGTCATATCCAATTATTCCAGTTATAGGTTTTATTGATATTAATTAATAACAATCCGATTATTTCTTTCATCTACAAGACGTAACAATTTATTATTATTTATTTCTTATTATCTATGTGTATATTTTATTATATGTATATTTATATATACATATTTAATCTTATTTAAATTATTTACGTTTGAGCCAGGAGATTGAAGATGTTTCGCGATACAAGTCCAACCTCCTTATTGCTTTTTGATTTTATCCTTTATTTTTCTTATTTTATTTGGATGTACAATCCTTGCTTTTCCTTTAAACAAAAGTTTAATATTACCATTTGGTAATATGTCTGTTATTAAATGAGGTCCAGAGTATTGATCTCCAAATTTTCCTCTTTTTGGTTCACATAAAAGAAATATTTGATCATTTATTTGAAATTCTTGAGAATTTAGTTTTTGATCATAATATTTTTTAGATTTTATTTTTGAAGCAATTAAATTTTCTCGAGCTAATTCTTGTAAATCATAAATTTTAGTCATTAAATTCTTTAAATAATTATCATATGTTTTTTCTTTTTCTAATTCATTATCTATTTCACTGGATGGTTGTCTGGCAATTTTACCAAATACCAACTCATATGGAGTATATCCAGTTGATTCGTGCACACTAGTGTTATATGAAAATGCAGCATAGTCTAATAATTCATCCCATTCTGTGAATTTATTTACGTATTGTTTTAAATATTCAATTAAAACCAAGTGAGATCTTTCTAAAACTCCATTTGCTTGTGGATAAAATGCTGCTGTTCTATATTGTTTAATTCTAAATTGTTTTGCAAATTTTTTCATTAAATTACTCATAAAATTGCTGCCTTGATCAGTTAATATTGCCTTAGGGGCTCCAAAAGTGCAAATAAAATGTGTTAATAATGCGTTAGCCACATGGTTAGCGGATATAGATGTTAAGGGTATAGCGAGAGAAAATTTGGTTAAATGATCTTGAATGGTTAATATATAGGAATTTCTTTTAGATGTTTCAGGTAAAGGTCCTACTATATCCATTGATATTTTTTCGAAGGCTGAATATGGAGTGTCTGTTATTATCATTGGTTGTCTTGTCTTTACTCGAACTAATTTTTTAATTTGACATTGTAAACATTGTTTAATATAGTTTTGAATTTCTGATTTTAAATTTTCCCAATAAAATTTTGTCTAATTCGATTATAAGTTTTTGTTATGCCTTTATGACTTCCTATTGCTGATGAATGAGCTTCTTCTATTATATCTTTTCGCTTCTTTATTTCTGGAATTTTTACTAAACTATGGCAAATAATTAACTTTATTGGAAAACCATTCATTGATTTTTGAATTTGATTGAGTATTTGTTCCCATTTAATATTATCTATTTGTAATGTTTTTGCGACATTTAATGTTTTAATTGGATTTTGACTTAATGCATTTCTTAATTTAATGGATAAATTATGTAAAGTTTCATTGGTCATTTTATCTTTCATATCA